AGATTTTATAAATACTGATAACAGTGTATGTAAAACTAACCTGCCCCTGGTCATTGAACAGTAGACCAGATCTTGACCCTTGCAGGGTTATTTAGGAGGAGTTTGACTCTCCAGTCCACATGTTTTGTAGATCTGGAGAAGGTTCATGGCCCTGAAACATTCTGGGGGGGTCGCGTGTGTACAAGCTTTTTGGTTCAATAACCAAAGTTGAGCTTGTTCCTGTGACTTAGACTCAACAGTGACTGTTTGTTGTGTCCAATACAGTTTATTGCGTTCATGACCAGGATCTCAGGAGTCACAGAGAAGTTGCTTCGGTCTGTTGTGGTGAAAAAGGAGCTGAACTGAAAGAACTGCTCGGCCTACTTTTCAACCCTCACCTACGGTCACGAGTCACGATCAAATGAATGAGATCCTGGATACAAACAGATGAAATGGGCTTCAATGATAGGGTGGCTGCTCAGCCTTAGAGATGTGGTGAGGAGGTCCAGGAACCAGGGGGAGCTTGAAGTAGAGCTACTGCTCCTCTGCATCAAAAGGAGTCAGGTAAATGATACCTCCTGGGCACCTCCCTTTAAGGAATGTCCCACGAGACCACCTAGGCAGATCGAAAACTCGCTGGAGGGACTATGACATTGTGCCGCTCGGGGTGGTGCATGTTGGAGTGGCTCCGTCACATTCATTCTGAGTTATTGCTTTTGAAAACTTTAATTCATCTTTTTCTGGATGTAAATCATTTTTTTCAGATGATTACTTCCTCTGGTATCAGATGCTGTGCATCTAGTATTTTTACTGAGATCTTTTTACTTTTGGGCATTTGGTATGATGTGTAACCATGGCAATAAGTTTTTTTTTTTTTTTTTTTAAACCAGGAGCAGCTGATTAACATCTCAAAAGCTCAAATACCTCAACTACAGCCACAAATCCCAAATGAGTTGAAAAGGAGGCGCCGTGGATGAATTCCTGTCAACCTGGTGGCGGTGATCGAGTACCTGACCGCCGAGATCATGGAGCTGATGGGAAACTCGGCTCATGACAATGGGAGGACTGCAATCACACCCCAGCACCTTCAGCTGTCTGTCCGTGGTGATGAGGAGCTTTCGGGCAGTCCTGCTGCCCAGGAGGACTGAGAGGCCTGCCAGATCTAACAGCAAGCTGGATCCAGGTGGATGGATTGTATATGTAGCCAGATCCTTCCTGCCCACAGCTGTCATCATCTATAACTCTTGAATGGAACCAGGATGATGAGCTACAACAACACCTAATTTCCCTTTGGGATTAATAAAGTATTTTTGAATTGAACTGAACGTATCAGGTCTGGAGGTAAAACGCCCCGGGATCCCTCATGAAGTACTGGAGAGCGTTGCTGAGAAATGTATGGTTTTCCCTCCTGGACCTGTTGCCTCAGTGACCTGACCAAAAATAAAAAAGGATAAATGGGTGGAGGATAACTTTAATGTACTCAATAGTTAAGTCAAGCATGAGATAATTGGAGATCTGCTAAAAGCTCAAACTTCTTTCTTGCATCCTAAAAATATTCACAACTCCTGCAGCAAACGGCCTCCTCCTCAAAATGCATCGTACCAAACTAGATAAAGGTTTAGGATTTAATCCAAACTTAGTTTTAGCAGTGATCATCAGCCCCAGATGACATTCCTCTTTAAAAACACAAACAGTGAGCGGACTCCAGGAAAGACGTGGCTCCTCACTTACATAACAATTTGAAAAGCACAGAGTGCACATTTGTCTTCTTTATAGGATCAACTCATTTAAAATTCTCATCCACATCCGCTCCCCCTGCCCTCCCTTCAAAAATAAATAAATAAAATCCAGTGGGAGCATGATATCAGCAAAATTAAGTAACCCAACATATTCAACCACACACAGAGAAAAATCATACTTTAGTTGGATGCAGCCATATTTTACCACAGTGCGTGCAAACGTTTTTTTTTTATATCAGACAATATCCAGCTTAGGTGAGAAGAAATTATTATTCTGCATTGATATGGGGTTTTGGCTCAAAGAGAAGTTTTGTGTAGAGACTAATGTGTGTGTGTGCAACCAGACACATTGTCTGGGCTCATAGAAAACCAATGGAGGCACCTGCCAGCTACCACTGCCAGTCACTGATAAAATGGGAAAGAACGTGTTGGCCTCCAGCTCAAGCTGCTTGTAAAGGTCAGCAAGGACTGAAAAACAGTTCCCTCACCTTTTTTTTATTAGTTTATCCTAAACAAATGCTGCTTTTACTGCCTGGTGGATGAACCTAATGAAATAAAACACATTCAAGAGTGTGGGCTGTGATTTTTATTACAAAAGAACAATGGCTCAAGGCAAAAAAAATAGATTGAAAAAAACGTCTTCAGAGCAGACAAGGAAATGCTGCTTGAGCAACTGAATCACAGCTACAACATCAGGATTAAAGCACTTTACCATTTATCATGCACAAACAGGATACTCCGTTGAAGATGCATGCGGGGAGGGGGTGGGGGGGACACCTCAGCACATCGTTGCAACATCTGCGTTATGCAGTAAAAGGCCACAGCAGATCACAAGAACATCACGTATTATCAAAAGTCCCACAGTTCACTTTGTGTCCCTGCAGGGACAAATACGAGGAACAGAATTTTTATTTATTTTTCTAATTTTCAACAGGCTGTATGACATCGGTGACGAGCAACGACACTGCTGCAACAGAGTGCCCAGTGTGTTTGCTACCTACGGTACTGTAAACAATCTACACGATAAGGCGCACAGTTGAAATGTTGCCCAACAGAAGAGCCACAACATCCGTCTGTAAAGGGTCTGATGTGAAAATGACTTTTCATCTTCAACACCAACACACTGCAGATCTGGCATACCAACTGTCAATACACCGACCGCAGGCAGTAAAATGCTGTTTGGGTTTTTAAAATGACCGCAACACAAAAACGCACTCGCTCAAACACATTTATATACAGAATTTTAAAAAAATGTGTAAAAAACTCATTTTCCTAAAACATAAAACGTTTGTTTTTCCAAGTTAGACATAAAGTATTTTCTTTAACGTCTCTTAATTGTTGACATCTAAAAACCTGGACACAGAAGGGCTCTCCATGACAGGACAAATACCGTTTTTATTTTATTTTTTAATTCCACACAAACAGTCAACTGAACAGCGCAAAGAGGTGCCCGTCTCTTTGTACCATTCCTAATCTTTAAAGGGAGCGGTTCAATCTAACTTTCTTTGATAGGGATGCACCGATATGGATACTACTCTCAGATATTGAAACAGTATTCTCATACTCTTAACTGTTTTGATACTACTACGACACGGTGCAGCAGCGTGACATTCACCTCTCAGGTGAGCAGTCAAATGGCAGAGGAGGATCAACGTCAGTTATGCGGAGGTAGCATTTTATTTTTTCGTGTGACTGTTCTCTTTTTATCGGTGGCATTAATGCCACATAAAACTGATAACGCCACGAAACACCAGCGGAAGACGACGAAGAAGAAGAAGAAGAAGAAGCCATGTGAAGTTGTTTAAAGTGACGATTAGGCGAAAGAGGGTCCCGGACAGTTACATGTCTGAACTCGAGCTTCCTGACATTCTCATCACTCTGTCCCTGGCAAAAGGGCGAAGGCCTCCATCGTCCTCATCGAGGTGAAAAAGCCAAGCCAGCGAGCTGTCCAGCAGCAAGCCGGCAAGTCGTCAGTGAGACAACCTCAACGAGCCGGTCCCCGACACTGATCTAGACCATTCTGAGAGGGGGCGACATGGGGGGGGGGAGTGGATACGGCGAAAACTGAGTGGTAAATTCTTCCACAGAGTCATTAACGAGACTAAAAAGCTGCTTTAAAAGCAACAACTGCCAACGCTGTCTGAAGATGGTGCTAAGCTACGTAGTGATGTTTTTGTTGTGTTTCCACTCGTGCTGCTGCTGGATGTCTTTTAGAGACGTGACCAAAACTGTTTATTGCCTCGTTGTTCTCTTAATGTTTATATAAAAACATTTTAGCAGTTATCATGTGTAGGAATAGTACTTCTGTTGTGCTGCAAATCACTGGATTTTTTTTTTTTGGGGGGGGGGGGGAGTGTTGCAATGGAATTAATTATTTTATTTTTTATTGTTTTTAAATGGTAAAATGTGAAAAATACAGATAATTTTTTAACAGATTAAATTTGTAATTACAGGTTCTATTAATTGTAAAAAAAAAAAAAAAAAAAAAGTTCAATATAATTCATTACTACTTCACTTGTTATCAACAAGTACTCAAATGTAAGTACAGTACTTGCACTTTTACTCGTTTTAAAAAAAATGTGGTATTGGTGCATCCCTGTTCTTTGTGATTGTGAAATCTGGTTTGTGATCCTAAACATGTTCTGTTCATGGCCATTTGTTCCTGTTCAGAAAGTTAGGACCCTGTCGTATACACATCCTACTAAGACATAAGGCAGTCACTTCCTCTTTGCCTGATTTGCATCAAAGAAAGACCTCGCCACAAATGAAGACAAAATACTGTAAAGACAAAACAACCAAATATTCATACCGCAATTTCAAACACTATTTTCATCGCTGATTGTCTACACTAACAATAAAATCCTAGAACATAAGTAATCATGAAAAAATGTAAACAGTGGGATAATTCATCTGGCTTGTACCTGGACAGATACTGGACCCTGTGAGATCTGAAGACTTCCATACACGAGATGGAGGAGGAGTGAGGTAGTCCACATGAGAACTGAAAGGGAGTCTGGTTCGTCGTGTTTTAGTGTGGTTTGATCAATTAGCTTCATATTACAGTTACGGTTGTTTTGATACAGTTTACATTTTTTTTAATTGGCAGGAAGAAGCTGCTGAATTAGCTCAAAAACAATTCGCTGTTGAATTGCTGTGAAATTAGATTTTACTTTCAGAGGGTTTTCTGAAACTTGTGACTTTCCAGGTGAATTTGAGTTCGTTTCTCCAAGTGCCAAAGTACTTTGTACGAATCAAACCAGTTGATTTTTGTATCTGCGCTCCTCAGACGATGCGATAATCAAACGTGTCTTTCTCTGTGTGGTCTGTCCAGTTGGAGGAGGGCATACTGCGGTATGGGTCCAGCAGAATGCGGAAACAACGCACTATGAGCAGGGCCAGGAAGATGAAAAGCAGCAACACAAAGACGAAGGCAGCCTTTTGCTCCAGCGTCAGGTAGTGCGCATCGTGACTGCCGCCTCCTGAATAGGACTGCGTGTGGCTGAAGTGGCCCTCGACCATCCTGGGCACATCCATGCTTGATCGTCTCGGCTCCAGCTCTTTTTCTTTTGTCGCAAGATTTTGAAAGAAGAGAATTTCAGAGGATAGGACCTGTGCAAAAATTCAAACAAAATGGATTAGACGTCACGCCCTCCAGGGTTTTTACTGCTGAAACAGAAAATCTGTATCAGAAAATAAATTTTAGATGAAAACAACAAAACAATCAGAAGTCTTTAATCAGGACAGACTCCCTCACCGAGTCTACTTTTAGATCTGTTGGCACAAATCCTGCTCAGTAAGTAAAGTCTAAAGGGAGTTCTTTGGTCATGATTGAAACAGCTCTGGGGGCTTAAAGTGGCACTCTAGAGTTTTAGTTATGCAACATTTGTTGGAGACAATGGCGCTCTCGAGGTAGTTCCCGGTAAGTCGCTCGCATTATTACACAGCCTGATATGGAGAAATTTCCAGCACTGTCCTCTGTGAGTTTGTCTGATATGCACCAAGCTGCACCTGCAATTTAAATCTGGTAGAGACGTTTACTCTGAGCACAGTCATGCATAAAGTAATCTGAATTTCTCCTGAGAACGCACATAAATTAAGCATGAACTCAGGTAGGAACCAACAGGTTGGTGAAGAAGAGACTACCAAGCAGATCACGTGAACAACTGCAACAAGGATGCAAAACAGGCATTCCTTCTTTCTTTAAAGTTTAGGTTCATTTACAACATTTTATTGCAAATGTTTAATCCACGGTGTTTGGAGGCGTGCACGGGAGGACTTTAAGAAGAATTTAACAAGATTAACACTTAAAAACAATTATTTGTTTGCTCGAAATTATAGCAAAGTTGTGTCTCAGTTTAACTTTTCCTTAATAAATGCTCCAAGAGTTTCGGAGTGAGACGAAGGTGGCTTTGTATGGCAAGCCAAGTGTCTCATTAATAGCCACTTTTACCTATTAATGAGACACTTGGCTTGCCATATTCGCAGAGGGCCCTCTAGTGGCTGAAAATGGTGGTGTTCAATAATTTCCATGTCAGAATGAATGAAATCGTCAGATCTCAAAGTCAAAAATTGGGTTGTAAATATGGGAAAAAATAAGTAAGTCGCATTGCCGTATAAGTCACAGGGCATGCCAATTTATGCAAAATGCTGCGGCTTATATAGCGAAAAATATGGTACCCACTGTCCCTCCTCTGGACATGTCCAAACCATCTCAGTCTGGCCTCTCTAACTTTATCTCCCAGTTGTTCAACCTGTGCTGTACCTCTGATGATCTTATCCATCCTTGTCACTCCTAAGGAGAAACTCATCTTCATTTCTGCCACTTCCAGTTCTTTCTCCTGTCTTGTTGTCCATGTCTCTGTCTCCAGACCATACAACAGCTGGTCTCACCACTGCCTTGTAGAGTTGCATTCGGGCCCAAAAAATCCAATCCGACCCAGCCCCAGCCATCAGTCATCATTTCCGAACCCCACCCAACTCGATGAATTAACAGTAATTACAGGTCAGAACCCGGAAAAAAAACCAACATTTTAAATTAGTTATTAACAGTCGGAGACGCGCAGCTGAATGGGGCAGAAGATCAGAGCTGAGGTGGTGTTTGTCCTTTCATGGCTGTAAAAGAGCATTTAAACCCTGTTCCTGCCTGCATTCGTCATATAAATACGACCAGAGAAAAGATGAGATATCTGGACAGATTCTTCTTTGTTGAAACATTTCGTCTTTTATCCAAAAGACTTCAATTACGACATTTATTATTTTGTGTGCGTCTATACTCTGACCTTGTCTAAATAGATTTTCCACAGCAGATCCCTACAGGTGGTTAGCTTAGGTTGCTTTGTATTCAGTCATACAAGTAAATTGGTTGGGGGGGAAAGCAAAACCCAGGGATTTATTCTCCTAGTGCAACTGGCCTGCAGCTATGTGAATCGTTTGTTCTGACAACATGTGGCCTATAACACAAAAATTAGGGGGAGGGACAGTTGTGTTTCCTATTCTTCAGGCAGCGCTGAGAGTAAATTAATCAATTCCAAAACAGCTAGAGGGAATATTTGATGCTGTTTCTCCAGCTGAGCAAAGTCCCAAACTAATCACAAATATCATCTGCTCTCTGTACAACACAGGAAGTATATGAATTTGTTTAAAAAAAACAAAACAAAAGTATACATGCAAATACAAATTCAAGGTTGTATTTAACGTTGAATGTAACAAGAGTTCATTTTATTTCTTGCATGTTATATCTATCAGTGCTTTAGATTGTTTAATAATTACATTCTGAGGACATGGCTCCTTCACTATCCCAAAAATTAATTAGTGAAAAATATGGCGACAGTTCTTAATGAAGTGTGACTCTAAACAGTTTATTAATGTATACCACGAGCTGAAAGTAACAGTTTCTGTCAATCCTTTTAATAAACAGAAGGTTTCTTCTGCTCTCAGATCTTGTTAATCATCAATACATCTCCCAGATATAACTTAACTTGTTACTTGTTAGAAAGTAGAAAGAAAAATAAGAGTTAAATCATAAAATTAGGCTAGTTAGTTGTATAAAACGTTAACACTATAATCAAGAGGTTCAAAATGTACATTTCTAAGTTAGCCTAATTTTGCCATCAAATGGATGGATGGCTGTCTCTGCGTTTATTTGTCTATAATGTTAAAATATCTCATAAACCAAGGGATGGATATTACTGAAACTTTCAGGAAATAGCCACTGGATGTACATCTATAACTGATTAACTTCTGGATTCAATCCCATTTGACACCACAGTTAAGCTACATTAAACACAAAAATGGCTATAACTCTGCTAATTTTACAGGTATTAATATGAAATTTGGTGAACTAGCAGTACTATTGGATCACACAAGATCTCTCGATATTGCACGAGATCATGCAAATTGTAAATTTACAAGATTTGACGAAAACAGCTTGAACTCCGTCTCTTCTCATCACGATGACCTCAGTTTAAACCTCTGGCATGAAAGGTGGAGGGCTCAGACTTTTCTACTGATAACTGTGTGGCTAAGAAAAATAAACGACCAACAGAGCCATAGAAATTGTAAAATGCGTAAAAACGTATTGACAATTGCTTCAGGGAAATGTTTGCATAACTCAAACTCCAATCTTTCTGTCTTTTGGGTTGTGTCCTTCGGTTCTGCTTCAGTAAGCGTGACGAGCCGTCTCAGACACTGACAACCACTTGGGAAAAATGCTGAATGTGTTATGAGACGACTCAAAGTGACATGACAAGTAGAAGAGCCGTCTCTTCCTGCCATAAAAGAGAAAAAAATAAATCTATCTGCAAACTCACAGGGAGAAGACATGGCGCGAGCCCTCAGCCCTGCCTCACTGATGGGCAGGCTGTAATCCATCATACTTAAAACTCAGAAATGATATTTCTCTTCTGTGATTCATTGTTCTCTCTGAGAAAAATGATATGGAACACGGCTGTTTTTCTTCAACCATTGGTATTCTCTCAGTGTTTACAGTCAAATCATAACCTCATAACTTGTCCTTCAGTGGCACGGCCAGGTTACATGGTATTATCACCTTAAACCACTCTGCTATTTATTACAGGGTTATGTAATTTGCTTCAGAGCCTCACATCAGCAGCAGTTCCTAAGCTCTTAGAGTTGGGAGCTTTTCTTGACAGGATTTCATAAAGATCAGCTAAACATTTAAGCTCCCAGTGACAACTTAAGAAAGAGCCGAAGCAAAAAAGAGACAGGTCACATTTGCTCATCAACAAATGCATTTAGGGAGACATAATTACCTCTGTCGGCCTCAGTAAAATAAAAAGAAACGCCAACACATCATGTCATATTTTAGAATAAAATATTGAACGTTATTTTGGGCTGACTGGATTTTGCAGGGAGAAAGTAAAGGTGTGTCAGATACTGACAAGAAATGATGTGTGACAGGAACGCTGAGCCAATTTGAGAAAACAAGCACGTTGTTTTAAAAATGTTGAGGTAATCTGCAGGTTCAGTGTGTGAACTATTGATAAGAAATACTATTCACCAAAATGTCTACTGCACACTATTTAACGCCCAGTGAAAGTATAAAATCTTGCCAGTGATAAGAGAGGAAAATTGTTACTTTAATTATTATGATTTCCCTGCGGTGGCAATGTAAATACAGTTATGTGTTGTGCAAAGAAATGCAATAAACTGTTACAAATTATGATTGTTACCAACTCACAGAAAGCAGGGATTTTGGAATGAATGAATGCAGAGATGTGAATTATCCATCCAGGCTCGATTACTGCAATGCGCTTCTATTTGGAATCAGTCAGACCTCTACTGAATGTTTACAACTGGTTCAAAATGCTGCAGCCCGATTTTTAACTGGTTTGGGCATGAGAGCACATTACCCCAGTTCTGGCCTCCCTTCACTGGCTCCCAGTTCACCTTAGAATTCATTTTAAAAATTCTTCTGTATGTCTTTAAACCTCTGAACAGTTCTGCCTCCTCTTATCTTGCTGATCTGCTGCAGCCATATGTCCCACAGTGCTCTCTGAGGTCAGCAGACCAGATGCTTTTACAGCAGCTTCGGATGTTATCAGACCATTAAATGGATGTTATTAGTCGTTAGGTCAGACTGTCCCCTCCTACCTCTTAACTGGTTTAAAGTTACATTTTTATCTGTGATAATATGCATCGTGGCTCGTGTGTAAAACCAGAAGTGTACTTTAGTTAGCTTTATGTAACCCTTTTCCTAAACCTAACCATACACCTGACCCAGACCACTGACCCTAAACTTAACCCCCTTAACCTTGAGCCTTTCAATTTCATTCAATTCAACCTTTATTTAGACAGATAAATCACATTGAGCCTCGAAGACTCAATTACAAGTGAGACCTGTTTAGACAGACTAAAAAGTAGTGAAACTGGACATGTAGGAATCGGAGGCAAAAAAAAAAATCCAATCAAACTCTTTCTTCTTGGCTGAAAAGAAAGACTCTAATGTTGAAAAAACACCTCGCACATACAAGCATATAGTGACGTAGACATTCCGCAGCGGGGGGAGACGACGA